ACCAATTAATAATATAGTAAGCAATGAGGCAAAAAATGTAGGTCAGTAAACGTATCATAGACCAGCTGTAGTACCTGGTTGTTCCACCAGGTGGTGCCTCTCACTGTTTAATCCTGTAGAGACCAGAGGAGGCGTCACTCAGACTACAGCTCATGGTGGCAGCAGAGAGCATTGTGGGAGTTTAGCAGCAGATCTGTTGACTCCTGAAGTCAAAGCGTCAGTCAGACAGAAGACGCTGATGAATTTCTTTGGTTGTTCCTCTGATCCTGTGTCACAGCGACCAAACCCGCACACAGCCGGTGGAGCTGCAGATCCTCCACTAGATGGAGCTAAGCGTCCACCTGCAGAACATCTGACAGAAGAATTCAGCTCCACAGCCGAGCTAAAAACGTAGTTCTGGTTGAGCTCCATCACCGTTCTCCGTGTGGTTCCCCTCCTGAGAAAATCTGCAGTCAAAGTTTCTGTGCTGAGGTTTCCACAAATCTCAAATATTTTAGAATCTGATCATAAAAATGATGCACAAGATGTGGGAGGTGGTGGAGCTTCCTGACATGATTCAGTTTATCTCCATATGTTGGACCATTTTGTGTCTGAACTAAAAAAACAGATTAAAAATGATACGTGTGTTTCTTAAAATTCTCAATTCTGATCATTTTGGAAGCAGGAAAAAACACATTTATATAAAACATACATGCAGCTGTCGTCTCTGTCCGACCATGTGAGTGTGGTTCAGGTGGTAGAGCTGCAGATCCTCCACTAGATGGCGCAAAACATCCACCTGCCGGGAGACGGAGAGCAGATCTGATGGAAGGAATCAAAGTCGTCACAGTTTCTCAGCAGGAAGGACAATGTTCTCTGAAGACATTCTGAAGATGTTTGGATGTATGTAAGACATCCGAGAACATCTGCAGAACACTTTTAGAATGTTTCATCGACAAATCCGTCCTCTGAATCACCAGTACGTTTTCTAGAAGAAACGTGTTTCCCCAAAAAAACTTCCTCAGCAGGTGAAATGTTCCCCCGTAGTCACATCACAGGAACGTTCACAGAGAACGTTCTGTCATCTGAGGCCCAGAACCACTTCACAACGTGTTGCTTTGTTCTGTTCATTCTCAGCTCTCTTCATGTCAGAGCTGTTTGGACGGCACCGAGCATTCCCCTCAAACTCCTGTGTGTGCATAAGAAGCTCTGATGAACCTGTGAGGTCGTGATCTTCTGCCTCCTGCGTGTAAAACGCTGCTTCCATCCGTTAGAAGGTACGAAACACTGAGAACAGGCTTTAACCCACAGGTTTGACAACAAAACTAGTCATGAAGAAAAAAACTGAAAACACACACACATATATTTCATCATTGTATTAAATTGAAGCATCAAAAACCTCGACATTCATTCACCACAGTGTCAGATATCAGCAACAAAACATTATAAATTCTGCCTTTATGTATGTTTATATGTGGGCACCAGCTGAAACCTGTTTGGGCGGGAAAACCTCTGACCTGCCGTGTTGCAGAGGTTCAGTAAACATGTGGAGCTGCAGTGTTTTCAGACGCAACAAACCATCCTGACTGATGAACAGCATAAAAACAACCTAAACTCTGCCTCCGGATCAGGTCCAGTCTCCTCCTGGAGCTCGTCACATGGCCTCGCTGCCTCGGCCCGACCTCACCGGCTTCAGCTCCAGCTGGTCGGTCGACTGAGTTCCCGACGTGGACGGCGTCTCCAGTTCGCCCACGTCGTCCCGCCGGCAGCACAGGCGGCGAGGCAGCGCCCCCAGCAGGGCCTTCCTGAACATGGAGCTGGAGAAGACGTAGACGATGGGGTCCAGCGCCGAGTTCAGGAAGTTCAGGCCCAGAGACACGATGTTGAGCTGCGTGAAGGTGTAGAAGGCGTCGCAGTCCCACGGCCGGTACGAGCGCACCGCCCACAGCCCGATGGTGGTCACCGTGGTGGGCAGGAAGCACACCATGAACACCACCACGATGGCCACGCACACCCGCATGGCCTTGCGCACCTTGTCGGGTTTCCCCATCTGCCGCCGCCTCAGGAAGCTGGAGATCCGGACGGAGCAGAAGATCAGCAGCGCCAGCGGAACCACGAACTCCAGCACGGTCAGGACGCGGTGCATCGCCACCAGAACCACGATGGCGCGGGACGCCTCTTTGTACGAGGTGAAGAAGAAGCACTGGGTCCGGTCGCCGCGGCCCTTGATGTGGTTGTAGGCGAGCAGGGGAACCCGAGGGGCGACGACCAGCAGCCAGACGAGCAGCGACACGGCGCCGGCCTGGCGCCTCGTCATGCGGTTGAAGCGGTGGTGAGGATGGACCACCTGCAACCAGAGGACGGACGTCAAACTCAACCAACACCACAAAAGAATTTAGTCAGATCATCTTTTCTTGTTTGCTTAATGTGAATATCTGAGCTCAGCTGAGTAGAGTCCGACTGAGGAGAATGTTTCAGCCCGGCTCACCTTGAAGTAGCGGTAAATGGCCACCACGGTCATGAGCGCGATGCTGGCCGTGCGGTTGGAGAACATGAGGAAGAGGTTGACGCGGCAGAGTCCGTCTCCGAACACCCAGTGGCCTCTGAGCAAGGCGTCGATCCTCAGCGGCAGACTGACCAGAGCCAGGAAGTCGGCGATGACCAGGTTGAAGAGGAACAGGTTGTTGGGGTTCCAGGCCTTCAGCTTGCAGCAGAAGATCCACAGCGCCACCATGTTTCCCAGCAGCCCCAGCACCACGTCGACAGCCAGGACCGGCGGCAGGATCACGCCTTCCAGCTGGATCCCGACCGGAGGGCAGCCGCCGCTGCCCGGGCCCGGCGTGGTCAGGTTGAGAGTGGAGGTGAAGTTGGAGAGCATTGTGGTGAAGCTGAACCGTCTGACAGCGAAGGGAGAAATCTGTCTGGAGGTCAAATCAGACCCGAATCTGTGTGACCACACCAAGGGAAGTTTCAAGATTCAGGAAATTCACAGCTTCCTCGTTTCACCATCGAGAAAAACACCGAGAACCTTAGCTGGTAGGTGAACCAGATCGACTTCCTCACAGGTCAGACAGGAAGGTGTTCAGATGTTATGAAATCAGAAAGGAAGTTGTGTAACATAGTGGTTCTACTTACGGACAAATCTTTGAACAGTATTTCAGTCTGTACAACGCCTCTGATACGCGACTAAAAATGAATCAGCTGAAATGAGACCAGAACACAAACGTAAGAACTCATGTCGGCAGTAATCACCAGAAACATGTGTTTTGAAACAGATGTTGCACAATCTGTTGAGATGTTTTATTATCGTGACATTTATTTGTGGATATGCTGCATTTAAACCTGGATGTTTGTTTCTTCACACTGTCCAGAAACTCTGTCATAAATAAATCACAACCTTTTCAATTAAATCAAACATCTAACACGTGCAAATTAAAAAGAAAAATGCAGTTAAGCCTAAACCGCAGCTACACGGAAAGCTGCTGTTTTATGGTAAATGTATGTCAGTGCACACGCAGGCTAAATAAGACCGTGTGGTTCTACACTTAATACGGAGAATTAGATGAGATTAGATTAATCCAGGACTCACCGGCTTCATTCATGAAGAGCTGCAGGATGAAATGCAGGTTTGTTTGACCTCCGAGGCTGCATTTATGTCTCCTGCAGGAGGATGTTGCCGTGGTTGTCATCAGGTCGTTGCCCAACAGCTGGCACATCGTGTGGAGATAAAGTGACGCATAAAGTCATATCTCAATACTTGTACGTTCAGGGAGGCCGAGCTGTCGGCAGAAGGGGAAGCAGAAAGGACAGAATGAATATTTGTGTTTTGTTGTTAAAACATGTCTGCGCCATTATTTAGAATTCAAACAGTATTATAAAACAAATCAAGCCAAAGTTAACTAACTGAAAAACATTCAGCTGAATCAGTTAAACGATTCACTGTAGTTTTTAGAAAACATATTCTCTGAGCTCTTTAAGCTTTTGCATAACACTCATTAATCTAGCTCAGTAACGTTAGCTGCTAACGTTGCCCACCATGAAGGCTAGCATATGGCTAAATCATGACATTCCATTATTGTTTTGTTTGTTTCCTTGTTTTTGTTATCTGCCATAAATCAACCTAAACACGTAGATACGTTTGGAAACAATTGACAAGTAATAATAATAATATTTATTACATGTTCAGGTGTTGTACATGTTGCTGATGGCACCCTCTAGTGGCAGAACCTTGCAGCTGCATGATGAACACAGAGCTGACGGCCGGTGTAGCAGGAAGCTGGTCATCAGAGCAGCTCACCTGGTGGAGCGGCAGGTGTCCAGGTGTGTTGAGCCGATGTTTCTGACACGCAGTTAACATTTCTGTACCGAGGCTAAGCTAATCTACTCAACGTGTGGCTTCCTGATGCTAACGCTAGCTTAAACGCTGCTGCCTTGTGTCACACTGGAGCATAAGCTCAGTTACTCAGTTACTCTGCTGGAGGTACGTGTACTTGAGTATTTCTGTTTCCACGTCGAAACAGTTCAGAGGGAAATATTTTAGTTTCGACTCCACATTTATCTGACAGCTTTTTTTTCTTTATTTTTTTTGGAAAGATACAGATTTGACACAATGAATGAAGCTTTTAAAATACATTCAACCACTTTTATATACTTTAAACTGTTTTTAAAAAAAACACACACACACATATTACTGATTTGTTTTAGGAATATTTTAAATATTTATTGATATTGTATTTTTTATGGTTTTATTTTATTTTTTGAATTTCTAAAAAAAATTTTCAAGTAATTTTTTAAATCATTCAGAACATTTTTATATGTGTCTTTTCAGTTAAAACATATATTTTCATTTAACATATATAGTAGAGATGCGCCGATCCGATACTGGGTATCGGTATCGGGCCGATACTGGACGAAATTCCGGTACCGGATGATTTCCTTCACAGTGGTAACTGGCCGATCCGGTACCGCCACACACACACAATCCTGCCTTC